GTCAGTTTTTTTTTTTTTTTTGCAATCTGTCTCAATTTGACTACTTCATGTCCTGTCGATGTACAGGAAGTGACTTATCTTTGCTATGTGATGGATATCCCCTTTTTAGTTACGGGAACAAGTGTCCCAATTGGAAGACCTTCTGAAAATACTAGTTTCCTGCCATTATAAAATCACTGATTCCTACATTTGCTCTGATATTCTGCCTTGTTCTGGGTCACTAACTCCAAGGTATTGGATCAAGCTTGAATTTGCAGAAAGAGTTAAGCAATGGTGGGCTTTTTAATGTTTTGTTTACACTTTTACAGACACATTTGGAAATAGCACTTCACACGGCACAACGAAAAAAATAATAGAAAAAAAAGTATTACCTTTTTTTTAGCTGTTTTGTGGCAAAAAGTCTAAATCCATTTTTTCTGAGCACCTTCAAAGTTATCTGTCCTTATAGAAAGACTAAGGGCCGAAATTTGAGGATTGTTTTTTTTCATTAACATACAACAGAGAAGCCAGGAATTGTAACCTTTTCACCCCTCACAGCCTCTCCTAACATTACAAAGAAACAGAAGAAAGTAGAAACTGATACCATTAAGAAGCCAAGAAACCCTAACCTTAGTAAAAGCGACACACTGCCACCAGCATTTTTTCGTTTCAATTGAGAAATTACTGAACACAAAATATGAAACAGCGCATATAGGATAAACACTGTAAATATGCAAAGATACAATAATAGAATTACAGGTTGCCAGGACCAAATCAAAGAACAATCTAAAGACTAATGCATAGAAATGTGATAAGTTTGGAGCATTCAGGGCCCAGCTGAATGCTGGGTATGCCAATAATCCTAACAGGAGTACAAAGGGAACATAGGTGGACCTGCACAGCAGTGTTGACTGATCAACATCGGGATCTAAGGCAGACACCCAGATTGTGTAGCATCTGTTGTGATTGGAGCAGCTGTAAAACCTAGGCTGATCGGTGCAAGCATAAATAGTAGCAAGTCCTGATAACTGGATGCACATATATAGGGGGAAAGTGTGTTGGGGAAAGGGGCAAAAACCTAAATTGAGTATCCAATGTGTGTAGTTACAATGTAAGAAGTCAGAGGGTAAGTATTACCTGACCCAAGGGGACCAAATTTACGCATGGTACTATCAGTTTGCACCGTCGCTTCTTATGTGATATTACCCGTTTGACACTGGAGGTGATCAAAGTATTGGGTAGCCAAGACTTTGCTATCTCCTGTTTTACTGCAGTCAAAATGTGGAGAGAGTTAAAGCGCAGTGGAGGGAAGGTCTTCCGGCTTACAAAGTTAGGGTCTTTCACAAATGGCATATGCAATATAGAGTAAGCGAAAAAATACAATCTCAAAAAGCTGAGGCTATCAGGCACTGCCACCACACATGGAAAAAGGTACCAAGGTCCTTGCAACCCCTAAAGCATAACGGTGAGCACTGTAAATTGAAATGGCCACATGATTGGATAGCATGTACCAGCAAAGCATACAATTGTAATTCATTTCCTGCATAGTGCAAGCTGCATTTTGTACTTGACCAGGACTGTTGCCACATGTCTTCATCCAGGGGTGACCCAAGGTCACTTTCCCGTTTTTGAACATAAGAGGGAGGAGCAGCGCCCAAGGGAGTAAGGAAGAAAAGATTATAGAGAGATGGCATGGGGGTTATTTCGGCAGATCCGCTCAAAGGAGGATAGTTTCCTAGAAGTGAATTGCGAAGCCTGTTTAGTAATAAAGTTCTTAATCTGGAGGTGCAATTGATGGAGGTGCCCTCCGCACACCTTTCAGCAGTCCCGCCCAACAATCAAATAAATGGTGCTCGAAGTAACTTCACGGATGGCACCGTGCAAAACACAAGATTGAAGAAAATAGGTCACCAGCACTCCATAAGTTAAAATGAATGAGTCCTTTTAATGGACAATGATGTCACAGAAATCCAACATGAGCCGACGTTTTGGGGCCACACAGGGTCCCTTCTTCAAGGCAAGAGATGTGGTCACATCTCTTGCCTTGAAGAAGGGACCCTGTGTGGCCCCGAAACGTCGGCTCATGTTGGATTTCTGTGACATCATTGTCCATTAAAAGGACTCATTCATTTTAACTTATGGAGTGCTGGTGACCTATTTTCTTCAATCTTAATCTGGAGGTAACGCAAAAGCTCCCCAGGAGGGAGATGATATTTCTCTCATAAGTAAGGGAAAGGTTTCACACCAGATTCAGTTTGGGACCTCCTGAGGTCTTGTGTAGACCATGCAGCAAAACAGGAGGGATTGGAATAAGCTGGGGGGAAGAAAGGGTTGTGCAGGAAGGATAGTAGGGGTAGGTGAGGGAAACTAAACCAGCTTTCACTTTAATCCTGTCCCAGAGAGAAGTAGGTAATTGGGTTAGGCAGAGGAGGTCTGCTTGGGGGACAGCCAAAGAAGATTGGCGACTGAGGTCGGTTTAAAAAGTGATTGCTCAATGTCCACCCAGCATGAGGTTTCATTTGTGGCATGATACTTGGTGAGGTTCCCAACCTGGGCAGCCAGGTAATATTTCGAGAGATCTGGGACTTCCGAAGGTAAAGGGTTTGTCGTGGGACCCTGGATGTTTAGATTTCCAAATAAAGCGGAAGACTTGTGTCAGTACAGACCGAAAGTCGAAGAAGGGATCGCAATCGGTAAGACCCGGAATAGGTACAAGAGTTTGGGTAAAAAGGACATTTGCACTGCCGCTATCCTGCCCAGCCATGAGAGGTGGTAGGTAGTCCATATTTTAAGTAAGCCCGAAAGCTTCAAGAACATCCCAGGATAGTTAGCGGTCTACAGTGTCTGATTAGGATGGGGCCGGTTTGATTTCCAGGTAAGGAAGGTAGTCTGTTGACCCATTTAAAATATGACATTTTAGACTGGGGTGCCGCAAGATTTTGTGGGTGCTGTGACTAAAAAAAAAAGGTTGAGAAATGCTGCCTGACACCCTGGCTTCCGGCTGCTTCCTGTACGCACTGGTCACATCATTTGGCTGTACTGCAGGATCCTGGAAAAGTGAAAGATCCCACATCATGTGAGAGGATGATCCGTCATTGTACAGAGCGGTTCTCGCAGGAGTTGCTTTCCCAGGATCTACTAGACGATTTAAAGATTTATCAACTCCAGCCTTGCCTAGGAGAGTGCAGCAGAAGTTAGAGTGTGGGTATATTGTATTTTTCCTTGCCCCCCTCCCCCCAAATAAATAAAAGGCACTTCCCAAGACCAATAAAATTAAACATGGGGGGGACATCCACCCTCCATCTCTTCTTCTTTTACGCTGTCCTGGGTGTCGGTGATGTCGATGATCCTTCTAGTGGATCCCAAATCCCATGAGAATATACTCCTGTACAGGGCTGGAGCACCTGCTTGTGAGATTGGGGACCTTTCACTTTCCTGGGATCTTCTATTTACATCTCTGTCTACAGGCAGCAGACAGAAGGTGAAATCTAAGGTACATTACAAAGCTAAGGACCTTATATTGTGAACTCCTTGAGGGAAGGGATGGATGTGAGTTCATATAACGTAAAGCACTACATACATTGATGGTGTTAAATGATTACCTTTAATAATAGTTTTCTCTTAGGACATTTTTAGGGTGGGGGCTATATGGTCCTCTATAAATGGAGCAGATACAGTCATTTGAAGTTAAAACATACACGTGCCAAATGTAATTTGTCCCCATCAAGGTTTTAGTTCACTGAGATAATAAAAGAACATTATTGAATCTTTTCTGCTCCAATACACTGAGCACAGCACACAACTCCAGTGTAACCTCTCCGGGACCGCCAGAGAGGTGTGTAGAACACAGAACATGCGCAGTGCGTGTCTGAGAGGCGGGAGCGTGCACGCAGACGTGTGACGTCTTCGGGACTTCTTGTGCTTCACACTGGAGGAAGTTGCGACTTTGCCCACAGATAAGATGGCGATGGAGTGACATCCGGGTTGTTAGTGGTGGTGGGGTCACCCCTGATACAGACACACGCTCGAAAACCATGACAGCCCGAGGGACCCCCAGCCGCTTCCTGCAGAGTGTTCTGCGCAATGGGGTGGGCAGGTACGTGTGCCAGCTGAAGAGACTCACCCTTACCTTCAGCAAGGACGCCCAGCCCTCCCGAGGAGCCAGGTAACCCGCCATCTGCAGTGCATAGTGTCAAAGGGTTAACAGTGTGTGTGTGTATAATGTGTGTATATATCGTATCATTCTGTGCACGGCAGTGTATGAATCTACTGGGCTTTATAATTACTTCTGTGCCCAGAATATACAGGTGAAACGCGAATAATTAGAATATCGTGCAAAAGTAATTGCAGTAAGTGCTGCAAAAGGGGCCCAAACCAAGTACTGAGTACATATGCATGCTTGTACTTTTCAGAGGTCCGATATTGTTCTATGTACAATCCTTGTTTTATTGATTGCATGTAGTAATCTACTTTTTTGAGGTTGTGGATTTGGGGTTCTTGGGGTTTTCATGAGCTGTAAGCCATAATCATCACAATTATGACAAATCACGGCTTGAACTATCTTGCTTTGCATGTAATGAGTCTCTCTCATATATTAGTTTCACCTTTTAAGTTGCATTAGTGAAATAAATGAACTTTGCACGATATTCTAATTATTCGAGTTTCACCTGTATATCATACATTGCAACGCAGGTCACAGAGCGTCCAAATCAATGAGTCCAACATTCTATATAATAGGGGTAACCTTAGAACTCCAGCTTTGCCAAAAAATACAAATCCCATCATGCCTCTTCCTCTTGGAGCCAGGCCTGTGACTGTCGGAGAACTGCAATTCCTCATGGGACTTGTAGTTCCACAACAGCTGGAAAGCCGAGGTTGCCTATCCCTCTACTATAACATTTAGTCCTTGTTGACACTTCACCTGATCCCCCCCCAACCAAAACTGTGACTGACACCTACCCCTGGCCCATTCTGTTTTGTAGACCTTCCCACACAGGATGGGGGTAGAGGTCAATCACAGGTGGATTGGGTTCACACACTCCTCACTATGTGTAGTGCTTCAGCTGTCCGCATGACAAAAAGGAATCCCAATATTTTCTGTTGGACTTATTCACACCTCTGATGCAGGTTCTTCTTTTGGTGATGGATCCCCATAGACTTCAATGGGAGCTCATGAAAAAATATATGTAACATGCCCTTTTGTGTGTCGTAGTGCATGAGAACAAGCCCCCAACCCCTAACAACTTATACTGTATTTCACCTTCATTGGCCAGAACAAAAAATCAGGCATGAGAAATGTGACCCAAAACATGCTAAAAAAAGCAGAGCCATGTGAGCAGGGAGATCATGAGTAATTGTATAAAAAAGCAGAATGTGTCACTTCTTGTAGGATTGCTCTCTCTGACCTGCAGTGTCCATGTGCGTTCACACCTAAGCATCAGTGTTTCAGGCTTTCTTTGTAAGCATTTCTGTGCGTCAATGCGCCTTTAGCGTTTTGCGTGGTTTTCAGCTTGTCCTCACCTCCATTTTGTTCCCTAGTTTTTTGTGTTTTTTTATGCCAATAGGATGGTTGGCTCTTGTTTGACAAATGGATGACTACGCGCTCAAAAATGTGTGAAACCGCTTGTGTCGCTGGCTTACAGGCATTTTCATTGATGTCTATGGGGCCAAAAGTGGAGAAATCTGCAGAAAAGTAGCTCGTGTACTTATTCCAGCAACAGGCGGCTTGCTGCTGGCAATGGGACGCTCAGGTGTGAACAGGGGCCATTGAAAACAATGGATTTTCATTGGTTGAGTGTTGTGAGGCTTAGCCCTTTGCGCTACAAAATGCCTAGAATGTGAACAAGGACTTGGGGGCTCATTCACACCAGGATTCCCATTGACCAGCACAGGCTCAATCAAGGGCACATAGAAAACAATTGTTCCCCCATTGTGTTGCTGCCTTGAAGTACATTGTATAAAAAAAGCAGTATCTCTTCATTGTTATGCAGCACAACACATGGGGGGTATATACAGATGAATGAAATGTCTTTTTGTCACATTTCAATAACTGTAAATTAGGGATGCACCGATACCAATTTTTCGGTATTGAGTACCGATTTTTTTTTTTTCCAGTACACGCTGATACAGATAGTCCCATTAAGGAAGCCAGGTGGCGTGCAATGACTTGCCACCTGGCTTCCCGATTAGCAGGGATGGTGTTTCCATGCTTCCTCGTCACCAGGTGACAAGAAAGCATGGAGCTGGCTTTCTGGCCAATCAGAAATCCGGGCGCCATGTAATGACATGTTGATCGCCATCCTGATTGGTCAAGAAGCTGGCCAATCAGGAAGCCGGGCAATAAATGGCGTCCGGCTTCCTGATTGGTCAGACAGCCGGCTTCATGCTCCCTCGTCACCTGGAGATGAGGGAGCATGCAGCCGTCTTCCTGGCCAATCGGAAAGCAGAGGGGCGTATAATGGCATGCTGTCCGGCTTCCTGATTACCCGGGAAGCCAGCTCTATGCTCCCTTGTCACCATGAGCTTCCGGTATCAGGAAGCAGGGCGCTGTGTAAGGACTCGGTGCCCGGCTTCCTGATACCGGAAGCTCAAGTATCAGGCTAGGCATTGGAGCATTTGGGAGAGGGAGAGTACTCGCCCAAATACTCCGTATCGGTGCATCCCTAATTTAAATAGCAAGTGAAGAGTAAACTGTCCAGTGTGGTGTAACAATTGTGGAAATGCAAGACTGCAGGGAATTTGAGAGTAATCAGTTACTACACAGGAGAGGATTTACTACAAGTGTGGGGGAAAAGGTTCAGCATTAAAGCCACAGAAAAACAAATATCTTTAATGAACCAATCGCCGTACAAATAACGCACAAGGGCAGAATGATCATTTACAGACTTTACTGGAGGTGTAAATAATCATTATGCAGATGGCAGCTGCAAAGTATAAAACTCTTACCTTGCACACAACACCCAGTGCGCTCTGTAAATGATCATTCTGCCGTGGCTTCAATATATTTCAGCTTGCCAGTCCTTAGACGAGGTGCTGCACTAGGGTCTGTGGCGATGGGCTTTGGGTTCGTGTTGATGTCATCAGTCTGAGACAGTGCCAAGATCATTCAAAATTCATTGGCAGATGCACCTGACCTGCAGTTAACCTCTGTCTGACCTGCTAGAAAGCAAGTTTTTCATAACCGTAGACTTGTATAAAAATACAAATCCCATTTCAAGGAAACAAAAGCCCAAGTGTTGTAGTCGATCTAGGCCTTGGGTCACAAGGCAAAGTGACCGTATCTGCTTACAGCACACCCAACAAGTTATACTGCCCCACTTTGTTGCCCTATGAGACAAGTGTTCCAGGCAGGCGACGACTCTAAAGGTGCCCATACACTGCACGATTATCGTACGCGATCGGTTTTTCGTACGATGTAGAGTGTATGGCCACCTTAAGGGCCTGTTCACATGAGTTTCAGGTCCGGATCTGCAGACGTGGTGCTACTGATGCAGTGCGTTTTGGCCACATTTTTGATGCGTTCCAGTAAAAGTGGGGCTGTTAGTATGTTAGCTGCAGCGCGTTTTTGACGCGTTTGCGTTTCCTGACCGTACAAAATGTGATATGCAGTATTTTTCTGTCGTAAGCTGAACGGACTGCGCACGTGAGAACTGTAGCCCATAAAACACATAGGGATACATTGGGATGCATTTTGAGTGCAGCAGCGTACGGATCAGGTCAGCACAGAAAACGGACGTCGTGTGAACAGGCACTAAAGCTTACCCAGGTGAACTCTAGCAGGGAGATGGAGCAGGCAAGTGGGTAGGGTCCTGTGTGGTGTACTAAACTTCCATAGAGCCAGTTTCATCTGGATGAGAAGGGGTTAGCTGTAGATCCTGCCCCCTCCCTGTGTACACTGAATCGTAGGATTCAAGAATTCCTCTGCAGAAGTTGGAATGTTGCTCAGATTTCAGTGTCTGCAGTGTAATACAAACACCTTTAGTAGCATCTTGTTTCATTTTTAGATAAGAGATTTATCCGCACAGTGCTCCCCCCTGCACACAGAAGTGTGGAACTCTGCAGTTAACAGTGTACTGAATGGTATAGTGTTTCTATGTGTGAATGCAGTGTTGGGAGGGAGGGGGTGACTTGTAAGATATTTGCTGCATACTGAAATTGTGCTTCAAGAACGTAATTTGTTTACATTGAAGAAGTTCAGAGGGTCTGGATAAATCTTTAGGTGGAATAGTAAAACCCATTTAATGCTCTTTTCTCTACTTCTGATTTTCAGGGAATTTATTGAAGAAAAGGTCATTGATTTTGCCAAGCAGAACCCCAGCGTTGTTCTGTATGTGAATCCCAAGCCATGCAGAGTCCCCAAACTGGTGGGGGAATACTGTAAGTATTAGTAATCGATCATTTATTTAGGTTATTATTATTATACAGGATTATATAGCGCCAACAGTTTGCACAGCGCTTTACAATATAAGGGAGACATTAATATCACTATTCAGGACAAGATGGTAAGGGGGGCCCTGCCCCTGAGGGCTTACAATCTAAAAGGGAGGGGAAAGTGATACATGAGGAGGTAGCTGTGTGGGGATGAATTGTTTGAGAAAGTGATATTTCAGTGGTTAGGGTGAGGTGGGATAGGCTTCCCTGAAGAGGTGAGTTTGAGGGATCGCCTAAATGCAGTCAGAGTGGGAGATAGACGGACAGGTTGGGGTAAAGAGTTCCAAAGAATGGGAGAGTCTCTAGAGAAGTCCTCGAGGCAAGCATGGGATGAGTTGACAAGGGAGCTAGAGAGCAGGTCTTGGGAGGAGCATAGGGGACGGTTAGGCCTCGTTCACACAATATGCAGTGCGTTCTGGCCGGAACACACTGCCTTGCATTGTGGGCGGCTCACTTTTTTGTTGGGCAGAAGTGGGCGGGGCCATTGAAGTGAATGGCACCATAGCCATGCCCTCCAGCCGCAATGCGATCGCTCGCATGGCTCATTGTGCCTGCAGTCTGGTGCGATCAAGATGGCAGGATTTGGATAGGGATTGGATGTGGGGAAGAAAGGTGAGGTCTGAATAAAGGATGACACCTAGCACCTTGGCATGGGGGGGGGGGTTGTATAGTTGTGTTCTCAATCATGATCGAGACGCTTGGGGAGGGTGTGTGGGGGGGAGGAAATACCATAAGCTCAGTTTTTGAAAGATTGAGCTTTAAGAAATGTTGTGACATCCAGACTGATATCTCCGTTTGTGATACGTAGAGATGGTAATGGAAGCCATGTGAGGTGATTAACTGACCAAGAGAGGGGGTGTAGAGAGAAGGGGTCCAAAGGACAGAGCCTTGGGGGACCCCAACAGAAAGGGGAAGAGGAGAGGAAGATGTAGATTTGTAGGTTACACTAAAAGAGAGCTTAGGTAGGAGGAGAACCATGAGAGCAGAGTCTTGTAGGCCAAGCGAGTGGAGTTTTTTGAGGAGCAGTGGGTGGTCAACAGTGTCAAAAGCAGCAGAAAGGTCTAATAGCCGCACTAAGGAGTAGTGGCCATTGTTTTTAGCTGTTAGCAAGTCATTAGTGAGTTTTAGGAGGTGGAGTGTAGGGGCGATAATTGTCAATCAAGTTCTGTCTCCTAAATCCTAGCAGTTTCAAGAATCAGTCCTGTGCTTTAATTGACAATTTTGCCACTCGGGGGATAAGGTCCATTGATTAGAACAGTACCACGCTCTCCTTATCCAAACATTTTGCAATCCGCAGGATAAGTTCTACTGGTTATTCATCCCAACTGTTAAGTTGTTTTTTTTTTTTCCATGTACTAGTGGTCAAATGTTCTTTTCTCCATAAACAACCCCCTTTCCCTGTCCTCTGTGTGGCCATTGAGATAAACAGGTCACTGTCCAAATCTTATATGTATAAATATACCCAAGGTCAACCATAAGTATTCATCTCCCCTCCCCTTTAAACAAGCCTATTTTTTTTAACCTTTAATCATAAGTGAGAATTCCCATAACAAAGTGGAACGCCAGTGTGCACACACCACAGATTAAGCAAATGACCTCTAATGGTGATTGTCCTAGGTATGGATTGCGGCTGTTTACTGTATAAATCATAGCTTCTCTCATCCCAAAAACTACAGGCAGTGCTCTTCTTCCAGCTCTCATACAGTGAAGGGATCCTGTCATTTGCACTCCCTTTTCTCATCCCTTGCATTCTGTTCAGAGTTCAAGGCATTCTGTGAATGTACAAGGAGAGATCATATCATTTACCCATCCCTCCTCTCCCCTTTTCCATTCACAGAACACCTTGAACTCTGTCAACAGAATGGAATAGAATGATCAAGGAGAGGTAGCTCTTTAAATGTAAACCGACTGCATTGTGGCAACCAACTAGACTTAAAGTGACATTAAACCCTCAGATTTTTTAACATAAAACAATAGTGTAATGTGTGCCTTTACTGTAATCCGTGGTGGTTTGCCTTCTCTTTGCTGCTCTTCCTATTAAATCTGTATCTCTTCTCATGCTGGGCAGAACTTCTGTTTTGCAGCAGACTGCCTTGTCTCAGGAATGGATACACGGTGTCTGTGTATAGGCTTGTAACCTGAGCCAGCACTACAGGAAGAGGCACTCAGAGGGAAGTTCTCCCCAAGCATGAGAAGACATGAGGATTTAAAAGGAAGAGCAGCAAAGAGAAGGGAAACTACCATGGATTACAGTAAGGTACACATTACAGTATTGGTTTATGTTAAAAAATCTGAGGGTTTAATGTCACTTTAAACTTGCAAAGGAAAACGACAGTGGGAATCTGAACGTTTAAATCTGATGCCTTGGGTATAAAATTTTATTTCAAGACTCTGACATATTTGGCTATTGATAGTTTTAGCAGCGAGTCTAAATGAATATTAAATACTTTTGTTCCTTCCTTCAGTGAATGGGACTGTCAAAGAAGAAGCCATTAACAGCAAAACTGCAGAGCAAATAGCACAATTGGTTCAGAAGATGGCCGACCAGTCAGGTCTGGAAATCATCCGTATCAGGAAGCCTCAACACACAGACAACCCTAGCATTCAGGGACAATGGCATCCTTTCACCAACAAACCATCTTCTATCAACATGCAAGTGTTTGATGCTTTCAGCCAACAGACCAAATCCCAACCATAAATATTGTCTTGTCTATCTCTCTGGTCTAGAAGTGTCCATACACGGTCCAATCCTTACACGTATGATTCTGATTTTAAACTTTAGACTGGGCAGGGTTACACCGGGATGGAAACAGCAAGAAGCATGTTGATACATATAGAGGTTTTCCACTTTTGGGGACATCACTGTGTATACAGGAGCTTTTGACGAGGTTGGGCAGATCACAGCAGGTTCTGGTAGCACCGTGATACAAGGACATACAGAGATGTCACAATGCCTACAGTTCTCAAGGAGAGAGAGCCGGCCTGTCTACTTCTATACAGCTTGGACTAAAGGTTGAAATGGTGTAGAACTTTACAGTCCTGTTCTTTTGTACTTGCAATAATGAGTTTTTTCATGTATCAATATTAAAATTTTCACAATGTCTGTTGCATAGTATTCATTTTTAAGCCATTATCTGGAAAAAAAAAATTGTAATATAGATTTTCTGATGCAAATCATCTGCTCCTGCTGTGCGAGCATTCACCTTCCAGCCAAAACTTTTTCAGGCTTATGTTTCTTAGGACAACTCAAACCAAAAGGGTCAGCCCCCTGCCTGTCATTTTTCTTTCTTCAGCTGTCTTTCAGCTTCTTTAGCAAAGCAGCTTGAATTGTACATTGCACTGCCTGATATCAGAACAGGACACACTAGCTGGGCCACCCAAACATGACCCAATATAAGCAGTTACACCATTGAACAGAGATAATCAGCAATTTTAGATCAATCTAAAAACTTAACCAGTACAAATTCATAAAAGCTCTACCATTCTAAGACGAGCTCAAAGGTTGATTCAAACTCTATAAATATGCAGCATTTAATAAAAGAATAACTGATGAATGTGAGCACTGTTACAGAGTGACAACTGTCTACCGATAGTGCGCCTGCACTGTGACCCAGGTATATGCTTCCCTTGTGGTGAGTACAAGCAGTCTTTCCAACACACTTTGCTCAGGCTTGGTCCACCAGTCAGCAGCCAGTCCAGTGCAATGATGTGTTGTGAGTGGATGTAGACAGCAAGTGGCTGAAAGACTATAGGGGATTAGTAGTGATAAAGTGATGTAAACATGATTGTTTTATACATTGTTATATAAAGATATTTTTCATGTTTGAAAATATTTTATAGGGATGCACAGACGTTTCGGTCTCGAGTACTGTTTTTTTTTTTTTTTTTTTTGTAGTAATCACCGAGCACTAAGTGGAGGGGGCACAGCCGTGGAGGGGGCACAGCCGGCTCCACCTCTAGATAGGCATAGCCAGCTGTAATTCAAGCAGCTGGATCTCGACAGCATTGTCAGGATCCATCCTGGCTTTTGCAGTCTCAGTATACCACAAGCAGTAGCTCACGATATACTGAGCTTTGGGTCATGGGAGGACGCTAGTATATGTCCTCCTGTGACCCTTAAGTGACCGGTGGGGGAAAAACAAACACCCCATAGTTCTCTTTTAAAACTAATTATCGCTTGCTTTTATCAAGCTATCTATCTGGAGAAGTCTGGAACAAAGCAGCTATTAACCTTGTCCCCATAGACTTGTATACAGAAGTCCTTTCAGTAATATTGTTGGTATATTTTTCCCCAAATGACAAGCCTCAGTGTAAACATCTAATATTGGGGGCAAAACCCTTTACTCATCATGCTTATTTTGCAACATTCACATTTTCACAATATGTACAGAACCTGTAAAAATAAATAATAATCTAGCACTCTGCTGGAGAATTCAGCTTTCTGTGCTGGATATTAGAACACTAAATAAACAAGGATACAAACTGCATTCTGAACACATCTCTAATAATCATTACATTTACAGTCACTCATACGGATCGCACAGCATCACATAGTGAGTGGTACAATTTACATATCTTCATTGCGTTTCCTTTTTTTGCCGGACTCTTTTCTGTATTGATGCCTGTGGGAGAGAAAACCAGAAGTGAGAGGTAAGGAGATTACAAGATCTTGTTAAAGAAGACTGAATACCTCCAAATCAGCACCCAAAAATATTTTAAAGGTCCTTCTTGTAGAGTTCACGTTATTTTCTATGGAACATGGATGATTTTCAGCTGGCTTCTGTTAGTGTCAAACACGTGAGCACAATAGACACAACCTTTGTCTGAAAATGCTTGCTGCTTGGCTAGGTTTAAAAATATTAGCATGCAAACTAGTACACTGCGCAAAACATGAAAAACGCACTTACATTAAAGCAAGACTAAACTCTGCAGTCCACTAGCAAATAAACAAATCTGAAAATATATGTGCTATCAACCATGAAGACATTGTCATGTCATAAAGATGTATAGCCTTTCCTTTCAAAAGGACAGCAGTTTGCGCCATGCTTCCTCCTGCCGAAGCCAGCTTCATCTTGGATGCATACATTCTTTCATCCACCACAGGCATCAGAAACAACTCCTGCACATGCATTGAAACAGAGCCAAGCCTTGCTTTTAATGCATTGTTGCCATGGTCCTGGTGGGGCACTTTAAGAGGTGGCCAAAAACCCACATTACATGGGGTAACTGTGAGGCGACAGGCCATTGCAAGGGTGGGTGGGTTTGGATGCTGGAGAGGTCAAACTCTGGTGAGGCACTGTGCAGATCTCTGGAGGACAAGGATGATAAGAAAGAGTAGGACTAGGCATGCATCGCTCTGCACCATCGCCTGAAGTGAAGGTGGGAAAGATTTTTGAGACCTTAAAGTTCGGTAGTATGCAAGATTCTCTTTGGAACCGGGCAAACTTTGAAAAGGCAGTTTAGTTCCACTTTAGGATGTACCATCCCTGGTATTAGGCTGGTTCCCACCCAGGCAACAGTGTTTTTGCACGTTTCTACATGCGTTGTTGATGCATGTTTATATGCATTTTCTGCACATAAATCAAATTGCACATTTTTGTGAGTAGATTGTAGCTCATTGATGTTTGAGCAAACGCACACAAAAAAACTGCAAAAACATGCATTTTCAAGTGTTTTCTATTTAATCTATGGGGCCAAAACTGCATGTTTTTAGGACCAGATCGTAACTCATCAATGTTAATGAGCAAACGCGCAAAAACACAGCAAACGGGCGTGAGTCTATGGGGCTAAAACGAGCTGTAATATGGCAAAAAAAAGCTCATGTACTTTTTACAGCGACAGGCATTTTGCTTATTGTGACAAAACGCTCAGATGTGAACAGGGCCACAGAAAGTTTTTGGCCATAGTTTTTTTAGGGCAGAAAAAAGCACTACAAAAACGCTCAGTGTGAACCAGGCATTAAGGCGTTAAAACTCCAGCTGGCTGAAACTATGGCCAGAAAGAACACGAGTGAGAATACAAACATAACTGGTAACTGAATTTCCAGGGTCTACATTGCAAATGACTGTACAGAAAAACCAAATGATGGATATATAAAAAAACAAAACACTCATTTGGACAAAAAGATCAACAAGAAAGTTGGTTTTCAGTGACTTCATGGCCCATATTTATGAACTGCAAAAAGATAGAAGCATGCAAATATGTGTATGCAACAATATTCACCTGGACTGCCACCTCCTTCCACTATTCCACACTCTACCAAAGGAAGGAAGCCAACCCTCATCAGTTGGGGCGTTGTGATCGAAGTTTGCACCCACTCTCTTTGGGGGGAGTTTCTTCAGCAGCATCTTCTCCTCTGTTAAAAATAAAAAATATGATCCATTATAACTCTTTGACTCAGGGCTTGTTCACACCGAAAGCGTGTGCGTTCCACAGCGGTAGCTGCTGGAGCGCAATGCAATCGCTAAGAGCAAGCCCTATTTTTTGCGTTAGCAGTGGAACGGAATGCTGGCAAAGCTTTGCCACGTCCAATTGCACTGTGGAAGCGGTGCCTTTGAATTCAATGCACCGCCACGCCCCCTCCCGCCCCAGAACACGGGGGGGGGGAAGTTTCTCAGCGATCGCGATGCGTTCCAGCAGCTACCGCTCTGGAACGCACACGCTTTTGATGTGAACAAGCCCTCAAAGATATAACAAGGCACTACCTTTTCAGATCAGCTGTATTCAACACTTCCCATTACATTTTGGGGTTCGTTTCATCTTGTATTATATCCTCAATTATGAATGAATGGGAGTGATCTACATCACCTCCTGTTCATTCATGATTGTGGTTATAGTAAACATACTCTGTTCACAAGTTATCAATGAACAGGAACACTCAGAGGATTCCTGTTCATTGATAACAGGGGATACAGAAAAAGAGATTGAGGACTCTGTGTTGTCAATCTCTTTTTCTATTTTAAAAAGGGAAACCTAGTGGGGGAAATAAAATGGGAAAACTTATTTCAAAACCTAGAAATATCAGGGGTGTGTTTAGATCCCTAATATTTCCCCCGAAGGCCCCAAAAGTAAAAAATAACAATATTTAATAAAAAATGAATTAACTAAAAAACTTTAAATAAAAACATTTTCGGTTTTCGGCCTGACAATTTTATTTTATTTCGGTTTTAAAATTTCTATTTCGGTGCACCTCTATTTAGAATAATATTTGACTACATGAAGGACACTTCCTGTGTTGTAGGAAGCTTTTATTTATAAATCTGATACTTACTGTGTTTTAGAAATCCTTCTAAGGCTGGTCCAATCGCTTGTTGTTTTAAAGTGTCCTCTTCATCGGAGATCATCCATGGAGGGAGAGCACCTTAATATTAGGAATAAAAAGTATATAAAAATCATAATATTGTAACGTTTCAACCTGGAAATGATGCAGCGAATACCGGGTTCTTCCCAAAACTTCTCATCAGGAAATAAACACCCCACAGTTCACACTTACTTTTGGTAAACATACATTATAACCATCTCTCAGCCAGGAAAGAGAGAGATAGAGAGGAGAGACAGCCAGGAAAGAGAGAGATAGAGAGGAGAGACAGCCAGGAAAGAGAGAGAGCAAGGGAGTTTTTTGTTGTTGGTAGATCTCATGAAGCTCTTCATTTGAAAAGTAGATCAACACAAAAAATTGTGGGCACCCCTGGAGTAGAGGAAGATTAGAACCCCTGTCAGCTTTTGACTGATTATATTTATATACAGTATATATAAATTAGACACACACAGGTCATGGAGTTGTGTGTGATCACCCGGTACTGGTGGTACCTCTCACTGGTGACACACTAAGAAGTGATCTGTGAATACTGGAGTGCAGATCTTAATAAACACAGATGTTTCGTCCAGCAGAGAAACAAGGACTTTTAAACCCCAATTCAAATCAATCTACATAGAATAAGATATGCAAATCATGCACAAAGTAAATATCTGCCCACCTTCTATACAATCTCCTTACCTGTGTGAATGTTGCCATCATTAGGACGCACCTAATGGGAGAAATTAAGACAAATTAAAATTCTAGTAGATTAGATTAATCGGCTGTTTTCCTAATGAGAAAATAATGTCACACGTCGTCAGAAAGGCCAACTCTTTACATAATGAATGGCAAATTGCTGCGCTAAGAGTATATAAGTAATCTAAACAGTAGACTAGCTGCAACAATCTGTGATTGAGTAATCGACTCTTTACATAATATCACTCTTTACATAACATCACAGATATTAAAGCTGTTGTAAGGGCTGATTTAAGAATGTTGCACGCATTAATCCCTGGATATAAGGGCTCACGCAAGTTTAAACACCTAGATATACAATTGGAATACATAAAAATTACTGATTTTATCTCCCAAAATATATGCAATTCTGCTCAGCCACTCTTTTGGCTCATAAATCCCTGCTGCACTGCACAGCCAAGAGTGTAACACCACCATTTAGTGTTGCAGTTCTGCAGCTTTCTGTGTGATCTGTCTGTACAATGGACCATGAGAGAACAACTTCACACTGGTGAGGTCCTCTTCTCACCTATAAGCTGCCTAAAGATCTTGCCCTGAGAGCTCTCATTACCCCGAAAATACATTAGATTGACATCATGCAATGCAGCACGATTATCTCACAGCATATACCCTATCACGCTTTGTCAAAATTCTGCTGTGCAAGGAATTATGGGAATAAAAAAAACAAAAAACAGAGAACATCCAGTCCAGAGAGGACATCCTTTAACCTCCCTGGTGGTCTGATTATCTCTTTTTTTTGCCTTTTTTTCTTCAATTTTTTACTTTTAAATCTCCCGCCAGCTCCTCCCCCCTGCGATGGAACCCGGATGTCGGCATCGGCCGAGGGCCACAGCGGGGCTCGTGGACAGGGTAAGTTACACACAGTGTAATCCTGAGTGTGGCTCGGGGTTACCGCTTTTGGTACTAAAAAATTAACCCCGAGCCACACTCGGGAATACCGACGGGAAGGTTAAATCTGAGACCGCTGGAGTATACTCCAGGCAGTTGTCAGCCATGAGGGTATATTGATGAAAACTGATGGGCCCATTCGGTTTTTACATGTATGGACTGATGTTAAATTATTTTCTATAGGGAGGGGAAACAACATGGTGCATTTTTCCCCTCTCTCAAGCTCATTACATAGAATACAACTTACAAAAAAGGATCCAATAAAATTTAGAGTTCAAAAGCTAAGAAACATATACAAATGGTAACTAATTGTTTACAGCAATGAAACATCAAAGAGAAGGAGAATTTAGAATACCTGTTGGCCGATGTATGTTAGAGATGTAGCTGGTATCACAGATGGGTTCTCATGCACACTGGATGCACTGCTGGAACTGGCTGCCGTTGCACTGGTGAGACATAATTCTGTTATTACTCTATTGTGATTTCACCAACACTGGAATCATCACTAACAACTATAAACAGGACACTTTATAAAAACACTGCCTATTCCCATTTATTATGCCAGTCTACTGTAATTATTCAGAACCACTCAATAAGCCCCCATTACCACAACAGAAAGCTCTGATGATTGTATATTTGAGTATAAAACAAGCCAACACTTAAACTTCTTTGTTTTGGGCAGACTGCAGAAGGTTTTACCCTTGCTTCCTTTCCCAGTGATATTACTGTCAGTGATACTGGAAATTAGAAACATTTTTAAAGGACACATACAGCAAAAAACAAAACAAAACCCGGAGGCTGTAGCTATGACCCTCTCTAAAAGAAATGAGTTTTAATTGTTGTTATGTTCCAATTAGAGAATTTGCATCATTCTTCCTATTCCACTGACAGTCTTCCCCCTAGATCACAGATGGTACTGAAATAATTTTGGATAGACACATACCAGGGCTTTGGGAGTTAATAAAGTGGCTTTTAGTAATCTAAGAAGTAATAGAGGTTTGCTCAGTGGTGAGCTTCAAAATCACATTTGCCAATAACTTGTAAGAAACATGGAAAAAACGTAATGTTATAACTATTTACAGATTCATGGTGGGCTTAATGAAGTTAGTTACGACCACCATCATACATGTGCTGAGAGAATGACACAGCAAGACATTTTTTTTTAAAAACAGAAACATGTTACAATAATGGGGAAAGTCCTTACCTGCATTGCAAATGCACACTGTTATCCCAAGACGACTCATCAGCTGCTTCATCCTGTTGTGATTCAGGAAATGTTAACAGTTTCATTTATATTTAAAAAATATGCTTTTATAAAGGTCTATCTAGAAAACATCAGGCTTGCCTATGCTCACACACGCATATATCATTTAATAGTTTTGGCAATTAAATAAAATGCCTATTAAATGGCTAATATGTGCAATCATTCTAGCAAAGCACCTAGCTGCAAGTCAGACAAGAACAGAGCAAAGCAAATCATGTTTCCTTGCTAGATATCTAAAATGTAACAATAAAAAAAAAAAAAAAAAGGGAGGATGTAAAAAAAATAAACCCTCCTACACTGGCACTCTCTCCTTCAAAAAACGTTTATGTTCCAAATCCCTCTGATGTTTTCAGGGTAAAGGAATATGGCACCATAAAGCATTTGGGGAACAAGTGAAAATTCAGATTTATGAGGCACCATTGATAGTGTATAATTCAATGCTGTATGTGGCTCACAAAAATGCTGCATGCATGATTTTTTTTTACACACACACGGCATGATACTAAGTACCACTGAATCTGTCAAACACTATTCATAAAAATATGTAGAACAGAAAGGGCCGAACTGTCAAAGCTGAATTCCCAGCATAGAGTACTATACATACTTACACTGGTCCAACTTGACCCAATGTAAGTATGCATATGACATACCTGAGCCTAGGGGGTTCTACAAAGCAATGTAGTAGCCGGAGCTACTACAGTACTGACAGTTATCTTCTGAGCAGCTTCCCCTCTATTCTGAAAACACTCACTTGGTACAGCAGCCAGAGAACACTTAGTATCTTCTTTTCAATGAAAACAAGGCAGTCTCGTATTTGATGAGGTGCAGATTGTGACATCACCACCCCTCATTCAGAAGGGTAAAGTACACTTATAATACCTTCTCGTGTTCCCCTCTCCACACCTGGTCAACATGCAATTGACATTTTTCTGCCCGGTTTCGAACAGGGGACCTGTCTCGTGTTAGGCGAACGTGATAACCACTACACTACAGAAACCCACGACGCAATTGACATTTTTCAAAAAAAAAAAATCAATCAGTCATTTTGTTTTTCAAGAAATACCTGTTTTTAGACATGTCATCACTGGGTCTGTCCGCTGCTGCTTGCACCAAGTTTGGTGGGAGGGGCCAGCAGGCTCCTGTAAACATCACAGCTTTCTGCCTTGTATCTTCTTTCATAAGCAGGAATATTTTATAAAGACATCCCCAGCAGTTCTTTAGACCATCATCCCTGCTGACCACTGGGTGCTGCAGACTTTAGCTGTGTAATCTGCTGATCAGCTGCTTGATTTGCAATTTCTTTTAATTCTATTCTGAACGTCATTTCCTGGATTTATGATCAAGCAATTGACCAAGCAGATTGCCCAGCTAAAGTCTGCACCACCAAGGATACATGCACATCTAAAAGAATGCCAGAGATGTGTTCTTTCATACAATGCTCAAGAACAAAATGACTAATGGCAGAGAAGGCCATGAAGACTGAAGTTGTAAGGAAGTACAAGTTGTCTGAGCAAAAGTAAGTTTACAGGGAATTGAGAGTACTGTAATCAGTTTCAAAACAGGAGATGGAATTGCTTCAGGCCCCGTTCACATTGAGCGGTAATTCCATCGATATCGCGGCTATTTACCACGCGATATCGCTCTCCAATGCTCGGCAATGGGGCAAAGGGTCCTGCTGTCGCGGGTCGTGTGTCGCTACAGCATTTGCGCGACAAATCGCGCAAAATGCAAATCGCGCGGTTAATTCGCGCAGTGTGAATGGGGCCTCAAGTGTGGGGAAAAAGGTAAGGCTGAGGTTCAACTTAAGCCCCCACCAACAAGCACATTAGATACGTTTACCAATTTAAGTAAAAAAAGACAATTTACTATATGAATTTAACTTTTACATCTAGTACACTGAAACAACATGTTATGTAACCAAATATGTTTAGTAATGGATACTGTTCTGTAGATGGTGTCTAACAAACCTCTAGGGGATTCTGTAATATCTCATGTCGGCTCTGTTCTACCATCTGAATCTGCTCAGCCATCTGTAAAAAGGAAGCAAAACACACAAAAAAAAACACATTAGTTGGTGTCAGAAGACCCATTTCTGCAGAACATCAGGTGTACAATATATGCCCACCTGTTTAATAAGTACATCCTCCTTTTCTTCATAGCCTTCTAAAGCTTTGGTTACTGAAGACTTGAGCCTAGGAGCAAACCAATGGTGTTTAAGTGAACTTTATTAGCAAAACTTAGTATTGCAAAGGGAAGGGGGGCTTCCAATAGAGCACGTTCATGGAACACATGCAATAAATATTATTATTATTATACAGGATTTATATAGCGCCAACAGTTTGCGCAGCGCTTTACAATATAAGGAAGTCATTACAATCACAATACAATTTAAGACAAGATGGTAAGGAGGGCCCTGCCCATGAGGGCTTACAATATAAAATGGAGGGGGAAGTGATACTGATTGATGTGATTGAAGTGAGAGGAAATCCTCATTGTGAATACAGACCACAATAGAAAGCTATAAGAGTTTCTAGCCTTCTGTGACCCAACTAATATACATTTTTCTGTGAGGTTCTGTTACTGTTCACGAGATTTCCCCTCATTTCCTCTACAGATAATAATGTTGTCCCCAGTGTGGGAAGTGATAGAAATCTCTTGAATGGAGACCAACGACATAAAATCTATTCAAATGTCTGAAATCAGGCCATTGTTGTATTTTAATATTTACAAATTCTTAACAAGCAGTAAATAAGCTTTTAAACAAACTCTCACTGACCTTGGTAGCTGCAAGCACAGTGAAAAGCAGTGAACAGCATAAGTTTCTCAGTTTCATTTTCTCTTAGCAGCATATCCCTTCAGCCTGCAGTATGTGGGCAGCATGTCAGCCTTCTAAGGCTGGCCATACACCCATCAACTTTTTTCATTCAACCCGCGGACTGAACGAAAAAAATTGACCCGATTCCTTCATCAACACAGTGTGTTCATCAAGGAATCGCCGCTGTTTGCATTGTATTCCGACAGGTGCCGATGTCACCTGTCAGAATACCCAATCAGAGCAGGCAGCTCATTGGCTGACGACTCTGATTGATCGAAAATTTTCCAGCCGGCTCCTTCGATCAACTGATTGAGGAATGCCGGCTGAAAGGGGCTCGACAGCCCCACACACTGTGCGAATTTCGGCAAGTACGTTAAAAACTGGCCGAAATTCGACCAGTGTATGGGCATCTTAATGTACGTGTACAAGGTTCACTATCAGTGCCAAACAAAGGTCGGAGTCCAACAGATTCCAATATTGATAATTGTGCCCATAGAGGCAACACAGAATGGCCAATGAGTTTCGGGGGCTCAAATATCTCCCCCTTCCTTATGGTTTTCTCAGGTGCTCTCAGTGGACTTTGTACACGTGAATCATCAAAACTGGGCGCACTGCTTTTGGGACACCATGTTTGAGAGCAGCCTTACCAGAGCCACTGTGCCTTATTACAATCAAATTGATAGAATTATAAATTAAATCCAGCACCTTGTGCATTTTCATATGCCTTCATTGTTTAGATATTTTTGGATATAAAGACAGTGTCTATTTAAACCCATCAGCGGTACCTCACCTTTATTTTAAAGATGGATGTATTTCGATAGAATAATACCAAACAGCCTTCCATAAACCTGCTTTCATTGGATGTGAGATTATCCATTTTGTTACTTGGTGGATGAGCATATCATAAGCCTTTTCCATTTGTTTTCATTTACTCTTTTTTAGGGATGCACCAATATATCGGCCGCCGAAACATATCTTGCCTTGAGCGCAAAAGGAGCTGGCTACGGCTATGCTCCCACAGGGCTCGTGCGGCTGCCGGCTGAATGTGTTAGACGCTGCAGATGGAAAGGGGCAGGACACCTCTCCCCATGTGCAACGTCGGCCATACGAGCACCACGGGAGGATAAGACGCCGGGGCCTGTAGGACGCACTGCAATGTAAGCCGGCCGACTCCCTGCGTTGAGGGGCGGGAGGGGGTGTGGGGTTGTATTGAAGTCAATGGCACCGCAGGCATGCCCCCCGCCCACAGTGCGATCACCCGCAACCAGAACGCAGGCACATTAGTGCCTGCATTCCGGTACAGTGCGATCTGCAAAAATAGTGCTCACAGCATTTTTGCGGATAGCACTAGACTGGAACGCAGGCACTAATGTGCTTGGGTTCCAGGTGCAGGAAATCGCACTGTGGGCGAGGGGCCTGCCTGCGGTGCCATTGACTTAAATGCACCGCCATGACCCCTTCCGCCCCTGAATGCAGGTGTTTTTTCGTTGGTAGATATCATTGAGCTCATCATTTGAAAAGTAGATCTCCAGATGAAAAATTGTGGGCGCCCCTGCTCTAGACTGACTACATGAAAACCTAAATGCTGCAGGAATTGGCATTTTTAGGTTAAGCAGCTCGAAGAGAGTTGATAAAAGTTGAGTAAAGAGAAATTAATGTTCAAAAACTGGAGACAAATAAGCTCAGTAAGTAACTCACCTTTCAAACTCTTCTGTAGTAAGAAAAAAACGTGCTTTTAGTTTCCCATCAGCCTGGTGTGTCCACCAAAATTTGTTTACAGCTTTCTTGTGTTCTGGACTGTGAAATATGAAAAATGTTTTCTTACTATTTATGACATTTTCAATGAGTTCACATTATTATTCTTCTTTTAAAACCCCATTTCAAATCTAAAGAGGACACCTGATCTGCTGACAACTGCCTGATAGGGAATTGTTTCTCACTTTGTAAATATTTCCTCCTCCTTCCTGTTTCAACTCCAGGACAGAAAGTTAAATTGTCAGTAAACACAAAATAAAAAACACTTTACAGCCTTCTGAACATAATGTAATAAGAGTGTGTGCCTTTGTTTTATTATAGAGTTTGCACCTGGTTGAAAATACTTGCTGATCATGCCAGTGACTCGCTCTGCCCGCTTTGCAGTGGCCACCGCATTATACAGGTCCTTTATCTGTGAAAAGGCCATGGCTATGCCTTACTGTGTTCTGCAATGCTCCTTGATGCCTAGGCCATAGGCAGCACCATCTCACTGGGTGAATCAAAGCAAATGATTGACAGTGTCCCCCTCACAGAACCTTGCTGTCATTTGTTCACTAAGCGGTCCTGCAAAGGCAGATTGTCATACTAGTTGTCTCTGTTCCTTCTCAGTGCTCAGATCACAGAGGACAGAAAGCAATCAAATGACTGCTCTTAAATTATTGATAAATAAGGTATTTCAGCTATTTGTGAGATAACTGTACTATTGTAAAGGTTAAAAGGATACATTCAACTTTTCACAATAAATGAAAAGGGCAATGACAATACCCTTCCCCACTCCCCCCCCCCCTGTGCACAGATACTGTAATCACCTTCTCTCCCTGCCCATCCCAGCCCCAGTATTGGTGCAGGGCCTTTTAAGTTTCACTGCACAGTCCTGGAGGCTATGTAACAACATAATGCTTGCAATAGCGAGTGGTCATTGGTCAGTGCAGCCACGTGACAGCATTGCCCATTGAGAACCTTATCAGAGCCTTCTTTCCTCCGGTGAAGCCATCCCAGAAGAAGGAAGAGTTTCTCATTGGTCAGCGTGGCCATGCTCACCAGTGACCGCTTATCACTGTATGATCCAACACAGTTGATAAATCTAAATGGGCCTTTATACTATACAAGGCATTTGCCCTACCTTACACCACTCACTGAGTGAGTCCTACCTGTAAGAAGAACCAAAGAAGGGCATCCCTGTGCTTAATTAAACAACTCATAAAATGTAAATAAAGTGCTGAGGAGGACCATTTCTCTTCAACAAGCCATAGAGGGGGCTGAGTGTTTACTATAAGCAGGGCCGTCCCTGAGGTGGTAGCCTCAGGCGGCATCTCATTTGAGGCAGCTGCTGGATGGGGGTAGGGGTTGCAACAGCATCTCAGGTTGCTAAGAGCACTTTCTCGCCCCCCATGCTCACTGATGTCACTGGTTGCCAGGAGTTCAGCTGGATGCTCTGGTTGGCATCCTGCGGATCTCCTATCAACCTGTGACGTCAGTAAGCTGGGCAGACAAATCAAGGGACTACTATAGGGACAGCCCTGGGTATAAGGAGCAGTACCTGTACATGTGCTCCAACATTCCTCCATAGAGCACTGTCAGATGGCCATCACTACTGTGTCTCTTCACCTCCACGTCACAGCAATGACACCAGAATTTCTCTTCATGCTCCTGCAGGATATACTTCTCCACTGCGGCCTCCTTAATCATCTTCCGGGCGGCCTCCACCTGATGGAAAGACATACACAGCCATGAGTTCTGCTACAGATATACACAGAGAGCCTTCAGCCTCACCTTACCTTCTGGGAAAAGGCGCTGAGAACCGCCTGCAGCCGCTCCCGGTGTCCCTTCTCATAGACATGTTTCCTCCTGCCATGGAACACAGACCTCCGACACACCGCACACATATACACCACCATCACACCAGCGCAACACGGCTTCCGGGTGTCTTTCCACACGTGACCGCAAAGTTCGGCACGTGACTGCTATGTTTTGTAACGTGACTAGTCACATGACGCAGTAGGCTGCCTGCTGTTGGTTTTCAGATAAGAGTTGGAGTAAAGAATTGTGTTTTCTACACTGTATAAGCTTGAACACGTCAATGTCATTACAAAAGTCATTTGCAATATGTTTACATTTACAGATTTCATTAAATTAACCCCTGGTGCAGTGCAGGAACAAGGTCCTGTGATACACAAGGTGAAGATGCCACAGTGCACCCCCATTCTCCTTTTATGTTTAGATGGATGGAGCATGTACAAACACAGTATGGCAGGGTGGGCAGATTTGATAGCCCCAAGAATGAATTCACACCAAAAGCATCGGGGCCCTGCTGGGTTTTTTTTCCAACGCAGCCCAACACAAGACAAGGCGGGTTGCCTAGTCACGGATGGAACACGGTGGTGTGTGCTGAAAAAAAGTACTGCATGCCGTATACGGTACAACCACGCTGTTTCCTTAGACAATAAACTCAGGAGTTCAAGCTTAAAAATACATTCAAGAACCTTAAAGTGACAAAAAAGTCAGATTTTTGGGGGCCCAGCCCAATCCTGCTGTAGGTACTTACCTTAAATGATGCCTCTTCATCCCATCATCTTTTTCCTTCAAGTAGTTTCCAGCAGTCCTGGTGCCGGACTCTGATCCAGCGCTGACTGCTGTGTCCCACTGAGTCTGTCCGGCGTGCACGCTCACGGTTGCGTGCATTGACTTGCGTGCATTGACTTTTATTTAGTTTTGCCTCTTCTCCATGCTGATGATCTCCACCCAGATCTTCCTGCACGGTCGGGGAAGCTGAATGCTGCAGACAGGAGCGAGCAGCGCTGACAGAGGTAAGTATAGGTAAGTATTTACCTCTTTAGTAACTTTTTTATTTTTTAAAATGTTTTAGCATATATCTACTGTTTGCTAGCAGTGAATGTATGTAAACAAATAAATAAATAAGACTTTACTTCTACTTTAACTAAAAATGTATCTTTTTTTAAATTTGTGTATCACTCAGCTGTAGATCCTCAAATCATCTCCGAATTCATGCTGACACTGTCCTTCTTCCTTCTTTTGTTCCCCATGGTCCCTGTGTGTGTGTTGTAAATTAGCCACCACTCCAAGGTTGTTCCTGTGATGGACTATCATCTCAAATTTAGTTTACTAATATGTATTGAGATTGTAGTCCATCATAGGAGCAAGCTTGGAGCGGTGGCTACTTTACAACACACAGGGACCATGGGGAACAAAAGTAGCCACCCTCCAGAAGGAAGGACAGTGTCAGCACCAATTCAGAGATGATTTGAGGATCTACAGCTGAGTGATGCCCAAATAAGATACATTTTTAATTATAGTTAAGGTACTTGAATGTATTTTTTAGATTAAACTCCTGAGTTTAGTGTCACTTTAATGAAATGTCACTTGTAACATTTCAATAAAGTTCTATAGAAAAAAGTAGACAGTGTGATGTGCAGGATCGGCGCATCAGCACTGCATACCAGCTGCTGTATGATTGTTTTGGAAACTTCAACCCTGTATTAGTCAGACAGACAAAATACCAGTAGGATACGACTGTATGAGAAATAGAAACTGAGCCCACACAGATATTAGTTATGAGACTCTTTCTGCTTTAATGAGAGGGGTGACTACTTTTATACATGTTTCCAAAATAAGCTGACTCACAGTCCTGCGCATAGCTGAGGATTAAACTCGCCTCAGAACCAATCTAATCTAGAACTGATGTGAGAGCATTTCAACCCTATGTTAGCATCTACCCTTAAACACTGCAAATTATTAAATAATAATTCACATATCTTGCAAAAATGTTGGAGGGGATGTTGATGAAGGGTTTCATGTTCAGGATAAGGGAAGTGAAGAAGTTACTATACAGGTTACACCAAGACAGGATATGTCATTTACAGGAGGGGGGAGTGAAAGGGTTAAAACTTTATCCCACAATGAATTAAACCCCTTCATCATAAATTTGTTGCTGCTGATCCATTTATTCATTTAAACTTCAGTGGTAAATACTCCTTCCTCCCCTTCCTTTGTTGTGAGAGGAAGGGCGGGGCTCTCAAATGTAAACACTACATTAATGCACTGCGTTCCAGTGCTCTGGAAATAAACCGGCTAATGTAAGATCTCACATTGTTAATTACATGGGCTGGTAATCGGACAGATGCAGGTGAGAATAAAATGATTTGCTCAGCTTTGTGCATAATGTTTGAATATTTATGATATAATAGGTACAGTATGTGCTAGCACTCAAAACCATACAATTACAATTAAATGTTAAATTGTTGACCACATTTGTGCAGATGACTTCCTTCACCATACTAACATGGAAACAAATTAACCAACAAACAAGGGGCAGACATCAAATCTGTATGTTTTATTCCAAGTGCTGCATGTGGTCCAATAATAAGTTAAGTGCTTGGTCCAATCTGAAATCTCCATATAAAGTGTATTTAAGGCCCCGCAAGGGTTTTTTAGTCAGGGATGGGTTTCTGCGTAGCCAGTAAAGTCTGTGGCCTGTGGTGGCAAGCTGCCATGTGTGGCACACAGTCACCCATACATAATTTTTCTGACGAGGGTCATACCCCTAGAACCAAAATGCCAGCAGAGTAGGGTGCCAGTTTGCCTACTATTTCAGTTCCAGGTGTTCTGATGCAGAGGGGTTTCTTTCAGGCTCAGCGTGCCATGTGCTACTATGGGGTCTATTCGCAAAGCTGCCGAAGGATCTGGCCGTAGCTTCGGCCGATCCTTCGGCTTGCTTCGGCCCCATTACCCCTTCGGTTCAGGAGAACCGAGGGGGTGCTGTACGGGCTGTTCACAATAGCCCGTACAGCTCCTGATCACGGCCGAGCAGCTCAGTTGAGCGCTGAGCCATGCTGAAAGCCGAAGCTGGCCGAGTGGCCAGCCATTGGCCGGCCGACAGCCTGCTTCTGACAGCTGGGCGGAGCCAGCCGTGATCACCTGTTAGTGTGATAGTAAGACTAGGTAGTCCGGGATAGGAGGGTGGAAGAAGAGTTGGCCTAAAGGGGCAGTGAGTATCTATGCAGCACTATGTGTAGTGTATATCATACAGGACAAAGAGGTTCAAAACATGTGTGACCTGTTTTTAGAAGACAACAACAGAGAGCAGAAACACAATGGGCTCTTGCGCACCTATGAGACCTGGAAGAGATGTAGGTATATGATATCCTGTTAGTGTGATAGTAAGACTAGGTAGTGTGGGTTAGGAGGGTGGATAACAAGAGTTGGCCTAAAGGGGCAGTGAGTATCTATTCAGCACTATGTGTAGTGTTTATCATACAGGACAAAAGGTTCAAAACAGGTGTGACCTGTTTTTAGAAGACAACAACCGAGAGCAGAAACACAATGGTCTCTTGCGCACCTGTGAGCAATGGAGGAGATGTAGGTATGTGATATCTGAGTTCATGTTGGAATCTTGCTGCCAGCCTAAGTTCTTACTTAATTCTTCCTTTTAATTACTATATTTATAGCCTTAGATTCATTGCTAACTTTTGGAGTCTGAAGCAAGAAATGTTAGCTTTTACGGCAAGTTCACACCAGGGCTGTGCATTAGTCACACAGTTCTGTGCGATTAGCGCACAGTACCATCCAACGCACCTGCCGTGCGCTAACAGTGCAGGAATTGCTTTGTGTTGCAATTCATTTGAATGTCACCCCAAATGCACCTCCCAACTGCAATGCGATGGAACACGCCACAACACGCAGTACTGCAATACTGCGCATTGTGGTACAGTTGACAAAAGTAGTGCAGGCACTAATGCACCTCCCACTGCAGGTGGGAGGTGCATTAGGGTGCCATTAAAACAAATGGCAATGCAATGCACCTCCCGCACTGTTAACGCATGGTAGGTGCATTGCATAGCACCGTGCGTTAATCACACGGAACATGTGGCCCTGTGAACGGGCCCTAAAAGGCAATATGGTACATTTGGTCAGTACTTACAGTATATCAGGAGCTAATACCCCCAAGTGCTTTAAAGCCGACCCAAAATTATTTTCAATTTAAATAGAGTGGGGAAAGGTTAGAAATTTGGAACAGTACAAAGTCAGCTCTAGGTTTGGTATGATGGTGACCAGCATGAGTCTCTCAGCTTCAATACCAGGAAAATAATATATTTGTGCCTATTTTATTATTGGAGTTACCTAAAGCATTCTGTCATCTCTATTGAACTTGTGAGAGTAAACGTTCTACCCATGGGCAGGCTACTTCTGTAAGAGCCACAAGTCACAATCTTGCTTGATTTATTTTGATTTTGCTACTAAGAGTCTGATATTCCTGACTTTAGGAAGTAACCCCTCCAACCCATCATCTCCCTGTCAAAATTCAAGTATACTTACTGATCACTGCAGCGCTGTCTTAGAACAAAGTATAGGTAGTTTGAGAGGGGAGAACAGAGCAAGCCTGTTGTTGAGCAGTACATTTAAAAGTTCAAAATGAATGACAAGTTCGTTATAACAAGACATGTTTCATGATCATGGCATGTGTAGACTGTCACAATTTTTTTCATCATCATCCAAGTATATTGCTTACATTTGTTTAGATACAATGCTGTTTAATTAATAAAAAAATGTCTACAAAATGTCTTTTATTGTAACATTAAGGGAAACAAGAAGGTAACATGTATGCATAGTACTAATGTATGTTAAACGTTGTTTAAACTATTGTTAAACAAATTGCTTTAACTTTGTTAAACTATGCTTATTTCCCTTTTTTGTTATTTTTTGGAACTTCTAAGATAACCACTTTATCCGAATACTGTATAAGGCCATAGTCATAGTTGCTGTCTTTTTCATTTTAGCATAGGATCTGGTCTGCTGGTTTATATTTTTTACATTTTATGTCAGAAGAACGGACTGTAGATAGTTTGCTCAATAAAGATGAAAGAATATTATTTTCAGTAATAAGGAATGAAGTGTCTAGTATGTTTATTATATGATTATCACATTGTTTAATGATTCTGAGCATTAAAACATACAATTTAGTCAGTTGAAAATACTTAATTTTCTTCTTTTTGCATTCACAGACATTTTGATTTTGGTATGAAAAAAAGAATTAGAAAAACACTATTTACACAAAATCTCGGTCAAAATACATACACAAAAATTACAAACGTATCACACCCCTCATTGACATTATCTCATGGTGCTTTACATTTCCCCACAGTGAAGAACATGGAACCTTGTTTCTTCTAGTGACAGTTCATTAACATGGCCACTGTACTTTTATTACTTGCCTTTTCCCCCTAGCACAAGAGCTACAATCAAACCAACAATGAGCAAGAACATTGCAGTAGATAATATAACAGTAATCACAACCATTCCTCCACTTCGAGCAAAAACAACTGGTGGAATATCCGTAACTGTAATAAAAAGAAAATGCAGATAAGATTATTTTTTGTAGGTGGCATGTATGCCATATATACTGTTATTTAATTTAAATTCAATTTTCGTTCCAGAGCATAGTTGTTGTTTTTTTGCGCCGAAACATGCAAACTGCATGTAAAGGCACCAAAACACGCTTAACCCCTTCATGACTGAGGCCCTTTTTTCATTTTTTGCACCCATGAAAGTTTAAAAAAGGTATCTAAGGAGGAAGTACAATATGGGACACATACTACTCTCTTCAGAGGGTACTTTTGTATTTACTAAGGTAAGTGCATTTCATTAAAAAGGATTACCGAAGTCAAGATTTGCCAGATTGCGGGATTAAAATAGTTACATTTATCAACACAAAATTATAGCATTTGGAGGCGGTCATAATTACATAACTAAAAAAAACAGAAAACATACTGGGGGGAATTTTTCAAGGGAGTTGCTCCACTTTTCTGTAATGACACATTTTCCATGTTTATTTGCACCTTATTTATCAATGCACTCTAAGCCTACATAATAAATGTCATTTTTATTAGACATGTTGGGGGGAATTTATCATAGCTATTGTGAGTGTTTGAACTTGCACGGAATATATTTGCACCAGATTTATCAAGCTAGTGCAATGTTGTTGATAAATTAGGTTTAATAGACTCCAGGAAAGAAGACTCATAACTCCAGGTAAAAAGTTTAACTGTCACATCTGGAAGAAGTGGTCATGGGGACTTCTTAAGTTGTGAGTGTTTTCTTAAGTGATGCTCCAGTTTCAGACAGCCGCAGAACAAGTGCAGATGAAAACACGTGCAAAAAGGTGCAAAAAACATGCAACTGAAAAAGTAGTGCAGGCTCTGAAGAAAACAGGGGCAAATGTTAAAAGACAGATTTGCACATTTAAAAAAATGATCTAAGAGGCTAAAACTGTCGCAAGTGCTTTGATAAATTCCCCCCACTGTATATTTACAGCATCTGTACCTACATGCATCTACTGTATATACACATTCATGATATATGAATATGTACCTTGATAGTGATGGACTGTGATGCAAAGAACAGAAAAGAGTAGGGAGAGACAAGAGAAGAGTGAGATTACTGTGTTAGTATACTTACGGCCACTCTTTGTAATAAAAGCCACTTCTTTAAACTGCTGACCGTTGATCATATAATATGCCCTGTAACATGACAGATTGCATTATGTACTTTCATTTTATTGGTGTTTTAGTCATGCAATATTGTATATTTATCTGTGACTTTTTATACAGTTAAAATATATTCTGTTATCTTATGCAATATATTAGCAGTCATTGCCCTGCACTGGGAGCAGAGACCGAAAGCTGAGATCAGTCAGATCTCGGATGTAAGCTCCCCAAACACGTTACAATCTGATTGTACAATCTCCTTTAGATCTACCAACAGCTATGTAGTGCAAGGGCCTGCCTGATTGGATACTCATTGGTTGGATTGATTAGGTAGATCCTCATAATGTATAGTTTTGGTAAATCTAAAGTTGATTCTATAAAGACTGGACAGCCCAATTGTAATGTGTATGGTGACCCTGAGAGCCACTGTCAGTAGGGCCGGATTTCTCACAAGGCCAAACGAGGCCCGGCATAGAGGCAGCAGGGGTGTGGAATTCTTATCTCCTGGGACATGAAGTTCAGGGTGCGGAGCGGGTAGTTGTTTTCTACATTTAGCCTTGCTTTGGACAAGCAGGACTAAATGTAGAGCGGGGAAGCCACTAAAAAATGAAAACCAACCCTGCCACCCCGCCATCTGGGGGAAAATTTGGCGGGGAGGGGGGCACATTAAAGTAAATATTTTTCCCTCCCCCCCCCAAATCTTCTTTCCAGTTGTTTTTAGCTGCCCCTCCAGCGCTGCTGCGGGTCTCCGATCTAGCGCTGACTCCTCTGTCCTTGCTGGCACTTCCTGTCCCACGGTGTCTGCATGCGGGTGCACGCTGTCCATAGACTTACCTTGTGTCTCTCCTTGTCTCCCGGCCAAAAATCTGAACTGCGCATGCGCCCACCCCGAGATGCTTTGCAGCCACCCAAGATTTTTCAGATTTTTGGATGGGAGCGCGTAAGTTTTAACCTCTTGTAAAACTTTTTTTTTTTTAGGGTTTTTGCATATATCTACTGCTTGCTAGCTATAGTAGATATATGCAGATATATGCAAAAAAAGCTGAGGGTTTAATAACCCTCTAAGGAACCTGGCCTTGGGGCAGCAGAGAGAGTAAATCCGGCCCTGAATGTTGGACAGCTGCAGCATCCCATACCGGCTCTAAACATTGGGGCAGTATTTTTTACTCACCACAAACTGCTCTTTAAAGTTTAATAAGCCTATCATTCTGTATCATGTACATCTAAAGGTTCTTGTGTTGCAGCCTAAGCAGGTTGCAGATTGAATTACTATGTGATACACAAGCCTCTGTTTACCCTCCTTGAGTCAGCCATTCCCTCCTTCATTTGTGTCTCACATGCTCCCCCTCCCGGGAACTACAGCCAGTAGTGGGAGGGTTTCAGCAGCATAGTCAGTTCAGGGCAGCACTAGGCATGGCCACAAGCAGGCTTATTAATCAGCAGTGACAATGCTGATACCTTCGTCCCCTGCAACACCTTCTCATCCCGCTGTAGCGCAAGTAGGCCCAGGCTACATGAAGGACAGTGCTGCTCTGAATTTAGGAGCAGTACAGCACTGTTGTCCTCCCACCACAGGAAGCTGCGTGAGGCGGAATTTACAGGCAGGATCAAAAGGTATTTGCTAGACTCTTCAGGGGAGATAGGAGAAAATGGTAAGTACCAATGCACTTACAATTAAGAGCTGCAGCGCACACACACACTTTTTATTTTTCTAGGAGGCCATAGTTCTAATTTAAAAAGATAACACAGATGCATCATATTTTTACTTTCCAGTTTCTGACAGATATGGTAATTTTTTACATTTCAAGACACAAAGAAATAAACATACAAATCTAAAACAGAAATGATACCCACTTGTATGAGGTGCCTGCACTTAGGCCTGGGATTTGGTAACCCACGTTGACGGTTTCCACATTGCCAGACTGTGAGCTGTTAATTACGATAATGTCACGTTTCAGGCGGCACTGTGGCGTGGTAAAACTGAAAACTGCAAAGAATGTGTGTTAAGTATTTGCATTAAGCATTGTTATAATAGGAGTTCAAATCTATCAAAAGTCAGCATGCCTTAAATCAAGGTTGACTCTATTAGTTGCACCACTCAAGACATGAAATAGCTGAACAGAGTCCTGATAGCTAGCAAAATTAACAGTAATAGATAAATAGTCAATCAGCAACCATAATTTCACATTATGTAAGTCAGTCATATGCAGCCTGATGCTACCAGATGAATGATAGAGCTGGCCCAAGGCACTAATTGCGATAGTCAGCCCATTCAGGAGGTACCAGGTAAGTGGCAAGGTGTCATAGCACCCTGGGGCATCTTCTAGCCTTATCAGGGGGTGCCTTAAAATGTTCACTAAAGGGGGGGACTCTGATGTGTAGGTGGGGGGGTCCCGATGTCAAGGTGGGTACTTTGATGTGCAGCTGGAGGGTCCTGATGTGAACGCAGGACTCTGATGTGCAGGTGGGGGTCCCGATGTGAAGGTGGGGAATGTGATGTGCAGGTGGGGGTCCCGATGTGAAGAAGGGGGGCTCTGATGTGAAGGGAGAAACTCCATGTTCTTTTTTTTTGTTTGCTTGTTCCTTTGCCTGGGATTCCCCCTTTAACCCAGGCAGCGGGCCCCTTTAAACAGGCTAGCTACCAGGACTCTGTTCAGCTGTATAAAGCCAATGTTTTGCTTTACACTGGAAGCAATTCTGGAGGCTGAGCTGCCACCAGATCACTTCCAGGGGCCGGTAAAGAGTGCTCCCCCCACCCGACAGACCCACCTTGCTTCCCGGGCTCCACTACCCCTCCTGCGGGCCCGGGACCGGCATCACTGGTGTCAACAGGTAGAGGGGAGAGAGACCAGCAAACATCCACTCTCCAGTCTTGTCCATGCTGAATGGAACTGGAAGTGACACTGATTGCATCTCTTCCGGGAGCAATTTACATTTTAGCCTGGCGTGCCTCGAGATTTTGCATACTTTTAAAAGGTGCCGTGACTGGAAAACGATTGAGGAATGCTGCTCTAAGATGATGAAAAATATCTGAGATTCATTCAAATTGCGCCTTTTCCATTCTTTCACTGATCTTATGCAACAGTAAAAGAAACATAACATCAGATTAGGACTTACAGGAATCCTGTACTGAGGGAAGTACGTAGTTTGCCATTGTTGACCTCTTCTTCTGAAAATACTATTTTCCTGGCTGTAATCCCAAGCCAATGACTACTGAACACTTGACCAATGAACAGTTTTCGAGTCACCCACCTGTAACAAGTATGGGTTTCAACTCTCACACATGACCTAAATGACTGCATGTTTACTCCAGTTCCGTGAACTAGAAAATAATAAAGCCAGTGGGCCAGCATGACAGCTAGTTTTTATTAGGGCTCAGTAATGGCAGCTTATGTATTCTTCCCTGTACAGCTTCCCTTCAGGGACTCCAAGATATACTTACTTTGTGGGGTAGTTTGGTTGGATGTGTTGACATAAAGAGTTACTGCCTTGGATGAATATTGACATCCGCTTGGAAATGCAATAATTGCAGATGAGGAGAGAGGATTTGCAACAACCTCAACAACTAGAGCAGTGGTATTGTCTTCTGCAGAGAGGAGAAAAATGTGTTTATTGTACTTTCCAAAACACTACAATCTTCCACCTAAACAGTTGAAATGCTTTAACTTACTTCCTTGACAGGAATTATTTCTAAATAACATGTTGTTAGAGCCTAAAAGAAGCACCGGGCCCTCACCAGTGCTCGGCATGCCAAAATCTATCCTGAATACATGAAGACTCAGCAAACCATTCTTCTCATTATATTTCCTTTTTAGATTGTAAGCCCTCACGGGCAGGGCCCTCCTTACCATCTTGTCTTGAATTGTATTGTGATTGTAACGTCTTCCTTATATTGTAAAATCCCAGAGCGCCCTGGAGATTTTTTACATTATTTAAATTTTTTTTTTTTTTACAGCAGCAGAGCCGCCGGACAATAGGAAACTATTGGGACGAACAGTGTTCGGCTCACTTCACTTCTGATCGGTCATTCACTTGGCTGCCCTCGGCAGCTTTGTGAATAGACCCCTATGTAATAATTTCCTGAACTATAGTATGAACAAGTACTGACAACCTTTCACGCACTGGAGGCACAGCAGTACTTGCACCCTATGTAGCAAAATGTCCAATGGCTACTGAGATGCCTCAGGGCCGGTTCACACCACAAACAGTGCACTGAATCGCATTTTGGCCGCCTCCCTGCATTCAGGGGCGGGAGGGGGCGTGGCGGTGTGTTGAAGTCAATAGCACTGCAGCCATGCCTGCCGCCTGCACCCGAGCGCGTGGCACATAAGTGCCTGCGATCCAATCCATTGCGATCTGCAAAATGCTGCAAGCACTATTTTTGCAGTTCGCACTGGAGCGGGACACAGTCACTGATGTGCTACGCATTCGGGTGCAGGCGGTCACACTGCGGGGGGAGGAGGGGCTGTGTCGCCATTGAATTCAACACACCGCCACGCCCCCTCCCGACCCTGAACGCCAGAATGCGATTAAGTGCTTCCAGAGCCTGACCGCTTTCACTGTTTATGGTGTGAACCGGTCCTTAAAGTGTAGCTCCAGCCAAAACCTTTTTTTCTCAATTTTTGACTAGAGTGGGGAAAAAACCTCCATCAATCTTTATCACTGAATGATCCAATTGGGTAAGTTGCCCCTAACTTCTAGTGACAGTGACAACACATAACCAGGGCTGGAAGTAAGGGGAACCTGCAAGAGGGAATCAATAACATGACTCTTTTTAGAAGAGTGAAAGAAGGCTGGAAGTCCCAACAGCTTTCTCTTGTTGTATGTGTCCCCACTGAAGAATTGTTCTCATTTCCCTTGTGAGTGACAATATCTTCACCAGGATAGACAAAAACGGACAAAGTTTTTGTTGAAGTTAAGCTGGCCGTACTCCAGTAGAAATTCGTTTTCGGAATCTTCGTTCGACTTTCTAATAGTTAATGGGGTCAAATTGATGATCGATTTTGACCATATTGACAAACAAATTTGAAGGAGCAGGATGGAATTTTTTTTTTTAACTAACTAAATTCTAAAAGTGATGTTTGTTTTTGTTCAGGAAACTCCATTGACTCCAAAATCGAAAGTCAAAGAAGGACTTTAAGGAACTTACCTTTGCAGTGGGGCTACTTCTGCTTATCAAAGGTTAAGTGCTTGTTTTGTCAAGGGGACTCGAATAAAGCTAGACTCACCTGATTCTCCTCAGTCAGCACTAACTTCTCTCCCTCTCTGCTACAGCTGTGGAATGTCCCTCGGCATCTTCACATCTATTACAAGTCAATGGACCTGCATAAGATCTGATAAAGTCCAGGGGACATGAGGCTGCAGGGTCCAGTCTAACAGCCCAGAGGAATTGTGGATCAGGTGAATATATCTGCTTTAGTTGAGACCCCCTAGCAGGGGCGTCCCGAGGCCGGGTGTCACCCGGAGCGGAGAAGGGGTGACAACCCGGCGTGACGTCATCGCGCATGCGTGTGACGTCGCCGCGCTGTGTGCGATGACCTCATCACGCATGCACGGTCATCTTATTGATGCCTGCCGGCGGCCATCTTGGAGACGGACGCTGGCAGAGAGAGGAGGGGGTCTTCACCTGGCGGGATGAGGTATGCCGCCGGGTCCCCTCCTCTCTCCTGACACTGTCGGGCTCTTAGTCTATGACAGAGTCCCCGACTTTTCATAGGGGGTGACACCAAAATGACTGTCAGTCATTTTGGTGTCACCCCTCCAATGGTGACATTCTGAGCCTGATGAAGGGGTACTGCTGAGACCCCCGAAAGCGTCTGTATTGGATGGCGATTTGTCAATAAAGGACTTTTTGCTTCAAAACTTTTGGTGTGCTGGTGACAATCCTTTCTAGACCCCTCCAATGGTGGCACCCCTTGTGAAGCCACTGACCCCTAGACAAAATAAGCAATTAACCCTTGCAGTGTGGGTGTAGCCCCACTGCAAGGATACAATTTTTAAATTTCGAGAGGTTTTCTTTAAAATCAAATTCAATTTCAAATTCTTTAAGTTTCTAATGGTATTATCAAATATTCTGATGAGATTTTTAATTCATGAAAAATGAACATTCATGCAAAAATCTACCAGTGTATGACCAGCTTTAGACTTTGGGTGGAGCCTTCCCAAGGTGGAGGAGATGCTATGATCATATTGAGTTTGTATACAGCCCAAGCATTAGTTATTGAATTATATGGTCACTGTAAATTAAGCTTATATAGCCGGGGTAATTATTACAATATTGTAATTTTATATACACAGCCAGAATATTATAGGTAGAGTGATTAGTTAGGAAATATGTGCAAATGGACTAAAAAGTAATATACACAACTAGATCTGAAACATAGATGCCAAATTTAAAAAAAGCTACAAATGCTCATCCCTAAAAATTATCCGGGGATCATAATGATTTGTATTGAATTCTAAAAAGTCCAGTAATAAAACTGCTACAAAGAAATCACCCTTTATTTGCTATGATCACATATTTACTACAGAGTATCTGTACAATTAATGCATGTAAGAGTAAATGTATATAAAATCTAGTAAAATAAATATAAAACATAATTTGCTATACTGTTAACATACCACTTTCCGTAAGTTTATTGTATACAAAAGGCAATATAAACTAAACACAATGACCCTGATTTAATAAAGGAGCAGATCATTTTTAAAGAGAGTTTTCACTTTGCAAAGTAAATGTTCACTGATCTTAGTGGATGCGGTGAAACATAGATGAAATTCACTTTGCAAAGAAGAGCAAGGAGAATTAAAAATCCTGATTTTTGCTTGCAATTGACTGAAGTCAGCACACTGTCACCTCATTCACTAATCTAAGTGAAAATGCCTTTTGCAAATGGAACATTTACTCAGCTCAGTGAATGAGTTGAAGTTGTGCTGACTTCAATCATGTTCAACCATAAATCTTGTTTTTCTAATTTTTATGCCCATGATTGGGTATTCTTTGCAAAGTGAATTTTCACTTTGTTTCACCTTATTTAGCTAAGTAAAAATTCATTTTGCAAGTGAACATGCTCTAACCCTTTCATAAATCAACCCTACTATAGGTAAGTATGATAAACAGAACTGCCATATAGAAAAATGAAATGTTCACACTTACGCCCATATGCGGCAGAAATAAGCAGTAGCATAGCGGAGAGCCCCAGAAGCTGCATGTTGACTCCGGGCAGTTGCACCTGTTTCTAGTGTTCCTATACAGTGAAAAGCCAAATAATGAGTTTCACCTTCCCTGGACAGACCAATCAATGAGTAGCGGGGGGAAAGAATGTGGACATGCTGGAAATTCTTATCTACATACACACCCTAACCTGAAACACGGTCTCCCCTCCTACATAACTTAGTGTTACTTTGCTTCCTCTACAACCTTCATCGTTTTACAGATTTGTTGTTTTAGGAGTATTGATGAAAGATAAAAACGCATAGGTCCATCTACGTGACTCCCTGACACACTGCAATTTTTATCTTCTAGGTCCAGTTACGTAACTCACAGCATTTTTTTATGTTTTTGGGGCCCCTTCAGACCATTGCAGTCTGTTGCAGCGTATTACCAAACTCATGTTAACATGTGGTATTTGGATTAAGGCAACCCATTCACTGTATACATGCATTGGAGGGAATTTATCAAAACTGGAGCAGCCAGAATCTGGAGCAGTTGTCCATGGCAACCACTCAGCATCTCTCTTCAGTTTGCTCAGTTGAGATTTAAAAATGAAAGATAGAAGCTGATTGGTTGTAATGCAAATCTGCTCCAGTCTTGATATATTCCCTTTATTGATTTTAAAAGTCACAGCTGCAGCACTTTTTTTTAATTAAATACATGAAAAGGACATGTGCCTTGAGGTGCATTTTAGACTACTGTACTTGTGTGTTGGGGTGCTGTTTTCCCCTTCCTGCCGAGGCATTCTTTGCATTTGTTGCACACATGTTATAGTCCACATTTTAGACCTCAAAAATTAAAAGTTATATATATATATTTATCTCCTGGGAGCAGGGACCCTGTAGAATAAAATGGTAGCAGTTAAAATGTTTACGTCGCATAATATTAGTGCAACTCTTTATCAAATCCAAAATTTCAGTAAAAATTACACCAAAGTTAATTTTAGTGCACAAAAACACAATATAATACCCAATTTTTCTGTAAAATATTAAAGATGAGGTTATGCCGAGTATATAGATAGCAAACATGCCAAGCTTAAAAATTATGTGCACACATGAAAAGGCGAGACAATTCGCTACTCCGAATTTGACTGTAGATGACACTTTAAACGCCTCTACAGGTCATCAGTTTAGAGTAAACCGTGAGTTAAAGGAGAACTATGAGGTGAGTGCTTTTCACTCACCTCATAGTTCTAGCCGACGTGTGACAATGAGACATACCGGCGTTTGCTCACTTCTCGATCCTGTCACTGCTCTCTGCCATGACAGGGGAGGGACTGGATTCCCCCATCCTCGCTCCGATCCTCCAGCGCTGACTGGCGGAACGGTACGGGGGAGGGGGCTGGTACAGCTGGCTCTGCCTCTAGATAGGCAGAGCCAGCTGTCACTCACGCAGCTGGGCGGATCCAGACACAATTGTCGGGATCCGCTTCAGCTGCGGCGTCTCAGTATACCGCGAGCAGTAGCTTAGGGTGACGGGAGGACGCTAGTTTGTGTCCTCCCGTTACCCTAAGGAGAACTATGGGAAAAAGCCCTAACCCCATAGTTCTCCTTTAACCTAATTTAACCTTAATAAGCAGCCGCTTATGTGCATGGGCATGTTTATGTGCATGCACTCCAGCAATGGCTGCATGGCCGTTCTCAAAGTGGTGATGGTGACATCAATGGACCATGCCTGTGTAATGTGTGTTGAAACAGTCACTTGTAGTCTCCATGTGTCAGGGTTACAACACAGGAGTATATTTCGGAGATGGGGACAGAGCGTTAAGAGACGTATGGACACCGGCACTACAGTTGTAATACAGATGTGTCTATATATTGACGAAAATGCAGCATAATCACACTCCGGGGTCTTGCAGAATCCCCTTTCTCATGCAGAACATGTGAGGGGACAGGGTGTTGACACCCTATAACAGAACCTTCATGCCAGGGTCACCAGGTTTTATATTAATGAAAGCTGCAGATTTAAAGCTATTGAAAATGAATCTTGAAATTTAATTAACATATTAGGTGTATATAAGGTTCTAGTGATTGTATTCATATACAACTAAATAATAATTTCATATAGGAGAGGCAATGGTTTATCTTGTTTGTATCACATTGCCAATGAAGTGAATATGCGCTTTGACTATTAAAGACAAAACAACAGATTCACTTTAATCCTCCCTCTTTAGCACATATCTTTCCTCCCTGCTCTGTTCACCTGCTGGGAGTAGGAGAAGCCCCCCTGTGTAAGCTTCACACAAGTCATAACTTACACAGGGCTGGAGATTCTCACCATGTGACACTGCTGGTGTGTAAGAGTCGAGTGCCATCTGCACATGCGCCAACGGCACGTCGCCTCACGAACCAGAACAAATCCGCGCCAACTGAGCATGCGGCAACTGCGCATGCGCAGACGGCACGATTCAGCAAGGCGGGAAAGCGCCAAGGAGGCGCACAGGAAGTGACCTTGACCTCAATTATCATTTCCCCTATACAAGCCCAGCCTGGACACTGCCAAATTGCTGGATTATCTTCAGTCTCTCCTTGTTCCTTTGCTGTTATCTATGTGTTATCTGTTTGGACTTGTTGTGACCCGGAACCCTAGTGACTACTCTTGCCTGCTTCCTGCCCTTTACTTCGGATTCGTATACTGACCATTCTTCTGCTTTGCCCTTTTGTACTTCTTTGCCAGATTGGACTTGCCCCCTGGTTTGGACTTTGGATTTAGGCTTGCACGGTGCTCCACACCACCGGCACTCGTGCCACTCGGTGTCCGCCAGGTCTCTGTATCCATCCCCAGAGGCCTCAAGACCCGAGGTGCAAGGGAGGCCTCCTCACTACTACAGTCTCACCTCAGGTACGTGACATGGTACTTGGCGATTGGCACTGTGTAGTTCTCCATAATTGGAAGTATTTGGTGTTTCCTTGTGTATCAAGATACAGTCCATTTACCCATCGCACTCAGAACCGCTGTTCCATTGAATAGGAAGTGGGTGCAACAGATGTCGACGGGTGGCTCCCCTCAAAATATACAAAGTAGAAGAATGGACACCGGCACTCCAGGGCAGATAAAATACGTCTATTTACTCACGTACATGTTGCATAGTCAGACAATCAGTGCAATGTTTCGGGGGTCTCGCAGGATCCCCTTCATCAGAAAAAGAAGTGATGGTCACTTCTTTTCCTGATGAAGGGGATCCTGGGGGGCCCCCCGAAATGTTGTGCTGAGTGTTTGACTATGCAACATGTACGTGAATAAATAGACGTACTTGATCTGCCTTGGAGTGCCGGTGTCAATTCTCTTTCCTTGTGTATCAAAACCCAAAGTCAAAAATGTATTTTATGCTAGCTTACCAGTCCTGAGATGTGGTGCTGCATTTTTTCCTTTTTTCAGGCTTTTTTCTCTTTATCTTCACCTGGTGATCCTGCCAGTAACACACTTCCTATCCTAGGGTGATAACACACTTCCTGTCAATTCATGGCCACACTTTTTTCTCCATTGTATCTATGGAAGGAGCAATGGTTTTCACACAGGCTGCTCCATGGTTATTAAACATGTCTGCCTTTGATCATCTGCATTATATGCTGGATTGATGAGATTAGCTGGTTACAAAAAAACTATATGGATGTTTTTGCTTTCTCAAGCTGACAGGAAGTGACAAGGACACTGCATTTCTGCCAAGATTAACTGTGTATTTATATCTGTTCTTGCTAAAAATGTTCTTGGCCTTAAAAGAGATAACGAATGCAGCCACCACATCTATGGACCGGTAAACTACAATATATTACATTTTTGGGGTTTAAATTGGTATTAACACCTCACAGCTGAACAGAGCGACAGAGAACCCACCAAGGTGGGGGATTGAATTGAACTTGCTCTTCTGCCCTGCATGGAAAAAGCACAGGTTTGCATAGGGCCCATTTAAGCTATTGTGTTGAGATAGCACATGTTAAAATGCACGCTTTAACACACGTTACTGCAACCCTCATCAACTCACAACTCCATGTACATGTACAATGCATTCAGTATAAATGCCACCCCAAAGCCCTGCACAGTGGCATCTGAGTGTACTGTGGTGAAAAGGAAACGTTATGTGCAGTTTTTGGTCCATTGCAGTGTGTTACCATCCCTTTCATAATGAATCGCGTGCCTAAACACAATGCAAGTTATCGTGTGATTTAACGCACATGAAATAACACACCACAGCGGATTGCATACGTCTGAATCGGTCTTTCATGTAAGCTGCTGGGGAAGAGATTTTCAGTAGCTCAACTAAGCAATTGATTTGCTATGACTACACAATGCTGTAATTGTGTAGTATAAACAGAGCCGAATTTCCCACAAGGCCAACCGAGGCCTGGCCTCATGGCAGCAGGGAGTAGAGGGGCAGCAGGAATTTCTATCTCCCGAGGCCCAGGACATACATTTCTGGGTGCCGGGTGGGTAGTTGTTTTCTACATTTAGTCCTGCTTTGGGCAAGCAGGGCTAAATGTACAGTGGGGAAACCGCCTCTTGTTTTGTACAAGTGATCTCGGCGATGTCACCGAGATCACTTGTATGTAGCTTGCATACAAGGTGGTGCATTGAGGAACCTGGCAATGGGGCAGCAGAGAGAGTAAAACCGGCCCGGAGTATAAACTTTGGATTAATCTCCTCACTTTTCCTTCATATACTTTAACGGGAGGAGGAAATTCATTACTCAATTGCTCATTTAGAAGTTTCTTATGTGATTTCTCTGATCAGTGTATACTCCTGTCAATGTAAAACCATGGTAGTTATCCTCTGTAAATGGCCCAACCATCTCCCACACACGGCTGTGCCGCCAATGAGGCCAACTGAGGTGGAAAATACAGTCTCAGCGGTAGTGAGCTCCCTGCCCGATCACTGTTGCTGTCACACATACAGGCACAGCTTCTTCAGTGACACAGACGCCTGTTAACGGTGCAGACGCAGTGTCACTGAGCACAGCACTGCCAGCCACTGCTCCTGTCTGTGTGATAGGCGCAGTGGCCTGACAGAAACTTTTACACAGTGACGCTAAGCATGCACTTTTAACCGCACTCTTAGCTGTGCTCAAGGAAGCTTTCTTTGCCACAGGCGGAAGGGAGGCAGCACAATGGCTGCCTCGGGTCTCATCCACCCCCAGCCACGATCTGACCCTCTCTGTAAC